AATATACACCAATATTCACAAAACAAAGCAGGGTTCTATTGTTTTAATTCAGCTAATATAGAAAAAAAAGGTCAAATGCAGGGATGACAAGATGTAACTGGGGTGACACTGAACCTCATCTATTTGAAATAAGACAGTGGCCTTGAAGACTCTATACCAGGCTATCTCTGAGCTACAATCTGCACATCATTGCTGGGGATTTAAATCAGGCTTACTTGAAGACTGTGCTCCCTCATTTCTACCAGTATGTGGACTTTGCAACCCCAGGTTGAAACACTTTAGACCTGTTTTACTCTATCATCAAAGATGCATTCAGAGCAGCACCCGGCCTTTCTGTCAGGCTAATTCCTGCATACAGGCCCCAGCTAATCAGGGCTAAACCAACAGTTAAGGAAGTCAAAGTGTGGTCTGAGGGGGCCATGGAGAAACTCCAGAACTGCTTTGAATGCTCTGACAGCAACATGTTCAGAGCTGCAGCAACATATGACAACAGAATAAATATAGATGAGTATGCCATGACTGTGTGAGCCTTCATCAAGAAATGCATTTAGGACATCACCATCACATAGAATATTGCCACCCGGGCCAACCAACAGCTCTGGGTGAATGGGGAGGTTCGGAAATCGATAAAAACAAGGAACCCAGATATCAAGTCTGGTGAAAGACAGGTTCTGAGATCAGCGTGCCAACTTGGACCGTGCCATCAGATCAGAGAAGAACCACAGCCAGAAGATCCAGGATATGTTTTTTTTTGCTTTAGACAATCTCCATACCAGGGCCACTGGAAATATTGGATCAGGAGGTGCTTTATAATTTATGAGCCTATAGGCCTATTTAAAATGATCTAAAAATAAATAAATGAAGATACACTACTTTATTGTCATACAAATTCAGTGTACGCAACCAGAGTTTGTAAGATATCATCAGTTCTCAGGTGACATTTTTTTTGTTATGATATATATATATATATATATTTTTATTATTATTATTATGCTGGAATGAAACTGAGTCACTGTCTTTATGTCACACATGACTCTATTAGTTCCTAAATGCTTTTATGCAAAGCACAAGGAAATATATTCTTATACTATTTGAACATCACTGAACATTTCTCCACATCCATAAAAAAAAAAATAATTTCCCAAAATATTTTTAATATTCTTTTTTTATCTCCTTCTTGCCACTATAGGGTGCTGCAGCACCCCCACTTCCTGCGGCCATGCTTCATATTGTCTTTGCCTTTAGAACGTTTTTGAATACATCTGAATAACAAAACAATACCTTCTAAAATATCTTCTTTCAAAACACAGACTGATAATTGCTTATGACCTTATGAGAAACTTATGAACAACAACCCCTAACTTGTAAGCATAGACAAGATCAATCACTTCACTTCTAAAAATTACCTAACGCACAAACACTGGTTCTCTCAGCAGCACGTACAAGTACAAACACCCACATATCAATACACAGAACAGCATAAATCAATTGAAGTGCTCTACAACTGTGCCACAGAACCATTATTAGTCAGGTCAAAGAATGTCTAAAAAAGTCACAAAAAATAAGACCTAGCACACAGAAACATTACCTTTGGTTGGTCCTGTTTTCTGTCGGCATTCCTTTAATATTCTTATATTGCTGTATGTTATATTATCTCCCCTTTTATTGGCCTCGACTGATCCTATTGTTAGGACAGAAAGAGATTTGAAACTTAAAATACAAAGTAGGCTTTAAACCTAATACAATAAAGTTATTATACGAAACAAAAAAATCAGATGTCTTACTTCCAGTTTTCTTGTAACGTCTTTGTTTTATCAGTAGAGTCATCAGCAGTAAAACCAGAGGACTGATGCAGGAAAGAGATACGATCAAGGAGAGAGAAAACTGGGAATCTGAAGGAGGATTGGTGGTAGGAACAGAGGAGGGGAGGGTTGGTGAGACTGAGGATGGTTTCTCTGAGGAACAATGAAAACATAAAAATAACTTAATTCTCTGAAACGCAGACAGTGGAAGAAAGATGTTGATCCTCCTGACCTTCAACAGAGATCCAGCTGGATGGAGACTCTCCATGACCACTGATGTTACACCTGTAGAGGCCTTCATCAGAGCTGGTCACATGGTGGAGGGTCATGTGACC